CTTCAGATTCTTCTAGTTTTAAAAAAGTTAAAGCCCACAGTAGCAGAGAGAAGAGCTCCAAATCAGAAGTGAAAAGAGCCAGGCTGGTTCATGTTGGCCTTTGTGTCATGTGATCATTGAAAAATATGTTGAAACCACCTGTGCTGATGGAGGAGCAAATGCTGAAGCATTTGTCAGTGTAGTCATAGCCTAAGTTCTTTCTTTCCATCTGCTTCTTCCTCCTTAGTGCTAAAGAAGGCTTTCACAGGACATAGAGAGAAAGCAAGGGGCTGATTCATCTTAGTCACCTCAGTTCTTCTTTGCTCTTCAGGCCTGCCCAAGCTGGAAGTCTGTCAGGAATATTATGGTCTACCTCCGCCACCTGTGGCATTCGGCCCACCACTGAGGCTCAGTGTGGGGGATATTGTGGAGCTAAGCAAAGCTGAGGCAGAGCAACTGTGGTGGCAGGTATGTATCATCAGCAGTCCTGTCCAATCTATTCCTCCACACTTGAGTTGGTTTCAGGCCACGGAGGTGCAAGAACTAGAATGGCAAAGGCATCGTGTCGGTTGGACATGGCTCTTCTGGGTAGATAAAGCAGTGTTCCCTAGATGCCACAAATTAAAACTGGAGCATACTTCACCCTTACATCTCGGAATATTTATGTTTGGAGTGTGCAACACTTAATTCACACTTTATGAAGTCAGAGCTGCATCCTTAAATGCCTGTTTGCCATGCTCACATGCAAAATGTATGGTGGCTTTGAAGGAGCAAAGGGGAGCATGGGTGGAGAGAGACTGCTGAACCACCCACACTACAAATTAAAACTGGAGCATACTTCACCCTTACATCTCGGAATATTTATGTTTGGAGTGTGCAACACTTAATTCACACTTTATGAAGTCAGAGCTGCATCCTTAAATGCCTGTTTGCCATGCTCACATGCAAAATGTATGGTGGCTTTGAAGGAGCAAAGGGGAGCATGGGTGGAGAGAGACTGCTGAACCACCCACACTCACACACATCCTTAAATGCCTGTTTGCCATGCTCACATGTAAAATGTATGGTGGCTTTGAAGGAGAGAGACTGCTGAACCACCCACACCCACACACATCCACACACTGTACCTATCACTCGTACCCTGCCTACTGTTGTAGAGGGTCCTTCTTCTGACAGTTCAGAACTTTCTGCCTGCACATTGCTGTAGCTTTTTAAATGCTTCCTGTTCTACTAGAGAGTAACAAATATGGGCAGCTCAGTAGCCATCGGTTCTCCGCTCCAATACCTCCCTCAGTCCCCATCACATATCTATGAAATAAATGTTGGTGGTCTATCAAGGATGTCATCTAGAGTCCTTTGACTTTTTCTAGGGATTAATTTTGCATTTCTGAAAAATGATGGACAGCAGGTGGTGAAGGCTTCTGGGAGTTGTAGTCCAAAACTCCTGAGTAACCCAAGGTTAAGAACCAGTGATCTAGAGTTCTTTGACTATTTCTAGGGATTAATTTGCATTTTTGAAAAATAATAACTTGGCTACGTATGCCCCCAGAAGCACTTCCTTTCTGTACATGCCAGGAGGCAGGGTAATTAATGGTACAGATGTGATTTAAGTGTGCTAAATGTGCAACTTTAGGCTGAAACTGCAGTGTTCAAGGACAATATCTCACTTTCACCTGAGCATGCTTCCCCCCCCTCAAAAAAAAAGAGTATTGTTGACAGCAGAATGTTACAAGTTGTTCTGTCAAGGAGCTGAAACTGTGCCAACATTTTCCAGGCCATTCTGTTGGACAGACTTGCCACAACATAAGGTCATCCATTGGAACCATAATTTTAAAAATGTTGTGTTACAAATGTCTTTCTATGCATTATTGATACAGAGGTCCCATTAGACTTGTTTCTGAGAACCAGAACAGATGTGATGCTACTAATTGGGTAAACATTTTCTTAAGTAGAAACAGCTGCAGGAACCCTAATCCTGAGGACGACTGTATTGCGTGGGGGTGGGGGGAATCCTTTGACCTTGCCATAGTTCCAGTATAAATAATCCACCTCCTTGCAGAGCCCCTTGCATCAAAAGAAAATGTCTTGTTGGCATGAGTGGTACATGATCAATGAAGTCAACTGGATGGTTAAGCAGCATTCCTTGGAAAGGAAAGTCATGCTCCATTTCATAAATGAGCTGTTCATTTACACCAAAACAGCCCTGTCTTGTGTCTGATGTGGCCTTTGCTTTCCGTCTTGGATTGTAGGGGAGGAACACATCTAGCAATGAGGTTGGCTGGTTTCCTTGCAAGAAAGTAAAGCCTTATGTCTCTGTGAGTAACATTTATTTGGGGGTGTAGGTGGAGTTTTGATTTCTTTGTGTTTCAGCTAGATCAGTGGATACCTGAAATCACCTTGGTGTGCTCTCCTCTGAGTCCAAAGCTTGGTTAATTTCGTACAGTAGGGATGGGAGGCCCTCACAGGGTAGAGGACTGCACTGGACCTCCTTGAGGCCACAAAGCCATGCTACCAGAATTTGATGGCTGTTTGTGAATTTTCTGCCACAACCATATTTATTTAACAGAATTCTGTGGTGTAGGAAGCTGGCAGATCCTTTCTAGGTAGAAGAAACTAAAGGAGGTTGCCAGAGGTTAGAGAAGAGTGGAGAGGTGGGTTATACCAATAAAGCAGACAAGTGAAATTAAAAGATTGAAAAAGTGTAGTAGTAGTTAAGGTGACATTTTTAGAAGAGGTAGAGCAGAAATGGATTGAGGGCAAAAGAAAAAAAGCAAAAGAAATTGCCTTAAAGTTACATGTGGTCCATACATCGCCAGTTCCTGCCTAGATGTTGCCCTAGCATTGTGCTGTATCGTAAGTTACCAATCATAGTTGTATAGATGAAAAAGAGGCGTTCTTACTAAAATGCAAATACAGAAGCTTGCAGCTTAAATCCTCTAAGCAAAATAAATTCCTGACGTAAATAGAAAATAAACATAATTTCTTTCTTTCCCAGAGACCCCCTCCAGATTTGTCAGTTTATCACTGGTACGTAATACCACAGAATTAAACCTTTTCTGTATTTTCTTGTAATCTATAGCCCTTCTCCTGTGCTGCCTTGCATGGAGTTCATGCCTCTGGTTTTTCTAAGCAGTGCAACAATCTGTGTTATGGAACTTTCCCATATAGCCTCGTAACTTCCATCTAAATAGCTTCTTCTAATGTCACAAGCTCAGTGCTCTAGCATTAAATGACGAACCAAACTAGATATTCAGAGAAATGTTTATTCTTTACAGGTTACCCATTCTCCCTTCCCCAGTGGGATTTTCTGAGAAATAATCAAACTTTGCAAACAGACTTGTGATTTAAGCTTGCATATACTTCCCAATGACCAATCATAAAATATACTGTAGTAGCCCTGCCCCCAACTTACAACTTAATTGGTTCCCTGAAGGTGGTTGTAAAAACCCGTTGTAAATTGAACTTTCCTGTTAGGCTTAATGTTACAAAAGGTGTTTGGTTCCTGGGAAATTTTCATGCCTTATAAGTGAAACATTTGTTGTCATCTACTGTCAGTCATGATGGCTTCTTGGGTACTCCGCTGTGACCTCTGGCTTCCACCTCACATCTCTGTTCTCTAACTTCCTTTCTGGGCACTCCTCTGCTATGTTCTCACCTGTCTACTCATCATGCATCCATTCTCTTTCTTGTTTGCTGGGTGCCCTCCTCTGACACCTGCTGTCTTCTGTATCTCCCCATCTCCTCTCTCTAGCTTGTTTGTTTGCCATGCTTATCTTTTCACTTATCTCCCACACCTTTGTTCTCTTTTTTGGCTTGCTAGGTGCTCCCCCTGACCTCTGCTATCTTCTCTCTTTTCTGTGTTGTCTTGCTGTCATGTTCGGTGATATAAACACTGCAATTTACAGTGAGTTATTGTGGTCATGAAAGTGAATCTTGGATGCTAGGAGGGTGCATTGACTGATACTGGAATACCTGTAAAGGTTGGGGTTCTTGTAAAGCAGGCCATTGTATGTCCTGTGTCCCCAATAAATCACACTAAATGGAAGCATTAGAGGTGAAAAAAAATGTGTGCTGGGATAAACATATGTATCTCTTCTGTTTCTAATTTCCCTCTTTTAATATGATAATCTGATTTATTTGATACAAATATCAGCTGTATCACTATTCAATTATGCATGTCCCAGTGTATTTTAAAATGCACATACTGTCTATTTGAGTAGACTCTTACAAATATATGCATTTAAAACACATTAATTATAAAAATATGTACAAATTATGCTTATGCGCTATATTAAATGTATAAATTCGGATATTTATTTTTAATGAACTGTATTGCAAATGTGACAAGAGTACACAATTCAGGGTCTAAATGTATTCAGATTTGGTTTGTCAAGAGCAAATTTGGGAAATTCACAGTGAAGTGCATTGCTGCACTTTGAAATGTTGTTGCTCATCATTCTTGTGGTAGACTGTATGGGGTACAGAGACACCCAGTGACTGAATAATATATTGCATTTGCAATTAATAAATATACCCTCATTGCTCAGGTACGTAGGACCCATGGAACGGGCTGAAGCAGAACAGATCCTTTCCAGTCGTTCAGACGGGACTTACCTAGTTCGGCAAAGAATCAAGGATGCCACTGAATTTGCCATCAGCATCAAGTAAACTTAATTCTTTTCAAAGTATCTTCCCATCTGAGCAAGCCAAGTTTTAGGAGGAGTTCTATAACCTTTAGGGTGTTTAACGTAATGAGTTAATGTAATTCATTAAAAACAAAAGTATTTCAAAGTGGGAAAGTTGACATGTATAGAAAGGAATAATGTTTTGCATATGCTTCCTATTAGATCTATTTGATATACTATAGTTTTTTAAAAAGAAAGAAATTGCTGCGTTTCTGTAGAAGAAGTGGTTATACCTCTGATAGGCAGAGGCTTTCCACATATAAGATTGTCAGTTTCCTTTCTGCTTTCTCAAATTAATAGGATCTGAGACACCATAGTTTAGAAATACATGTCTTACTCTGGGTCCCAGGCAATCAGAACAGGGACACAAAGTACCACTTATCCACACATTTAAGGACAAGAGACCCCTGAAGTAGAGTAGAATCCTAACAAAAAAATGGCCGAGCACTTCAAGAGTTGGCAGTAGGCTGGCTGAGAGAACAATTATGCTATGAAAATGCATCAGTAGCTGGATCAGGGTTTTTGAAATCAAGTTAAAGTCATGTGGTAAGTCACATGTCATTTGGGTCAATGTGCATCCTCTTAGGAAAAAATCAGGGGACTACAGAGGGTTTAAAATCATTGCAATTGATCCTTTGTCCTGCATCCATACGCCCAACCCTACACTGACCACTTTTTAAAATTCTTTCAGACTGATACATTGCTATGTCAGTATTACAGATGAAATACAGTAATCTTCAAAAGTAGCAAGTGTGAGAAGGGGAAAGTGCTCTCTCCTTCACTACCTGGAAACCGCTGGGCTTTGTCAATGTCTCTAGTGAATTTATATGCCTTCCCTCTTGCCAGCACTGACCTCTAGTTCCCTAGCAGCCTGTGGATGCCAGGCAGAGACTCACCTTTCAGCCTCCTCTCCTCACCTGAAAATTTCTGAGGATACTCAGAGAGAGACAGATAGAAAGACAGACACCCACAGAGGGGAACTAGGAACCAGTTGCCAGCACTGGCAAGACAGAAGGCAAATGGAATTGACTAGAGACATTGACAAAACACAACAGCATGTAGGTTGCAAAGAAAGGAGCACTTCTCCCTTTGTGCTGTCTGCTTTTTAAAATTAATTTCAAACTGGTATATTACTACATTAGTATTTCAAATGAAAAAAAAAATAAAACAGATTGTACTGCAATGTTTCCTGCAGCGCAAAACCTCTGATCCTGGTGTCCATTACAAATGCCCCAGACACAATTTATTCCAACAGAGGTATTCACATATGCCAAAATGATTCAAAAGGAATCGAGTTCACATTTGAGTTAAAATAAATAATCCCCTGGTACTGTCTGTTTTACGCCTTGTCTGAACAAAAAAAAAACCTGGTTGGTCCTTCTGTGTTTGCTGTGTGTTTTGCTTCTGAAAGGGAAAACTCACTAGTTTTTGTGTAATGATACTCTTGCCAAATTACAGAGACACTAATGAGTAAAAATAGAGCTCCTTGTCTACTCCTTGGGTGTAGACAAGGACTCTCATGTGGCTTAAATGTTCCATGTTGAATCAATGGATCTACAAGTCAAGACAAACTGAAGAGGGAACATTTTTTCCATCCTTAAATCTGAGTAGACTACTGAGTTTAATGGAAAATAGATCATAGTAGCAAAGAAACAGAGTGCCAGGCAAGAACCTATGGGCTATGGGCAAAGTGCCTGGGTAGCCACATATAATTCCACTTGCCCAAATAAAGGCTAGCTCAGAAGCAAGAAGGGGTAAAGCCTTGTCTAAATATATTTGTAAATGTTTTTCAGTATGTTTAAAATACATTTGTAAATATATGTCTAAAAACCTTCCTTGGTGTCTTCCTTCACAGTTGAAAAATATCTCAATTTCTTATATTAACATTGCTTCTACCGTTTTTTTGTTTTTTTTTTTTGAATGAAGTGTATGTCTTGCCTGTTCTAATACCTCATTCTGTGTCTCAAATGTGAAAGCCCATTTGAAACAATGCAACCATTGTTAACACTCCTGAATATAAACATGAGATGGGAAACAAACTGTTATGTGCATTTTTTGCGCTCCTTCAGATTCAACACTGAAGTCAAGCACATCAAAATCCAGACCAAAGATGGCTTGTATCGCATCACAGAGAAGAAAGCTTTCAAAGGACTTACGGTAGGAATCGGTGGGCCTCCTGCTTCATAAAAAATTGTTTTCATAAATTCGAATAGTAACAGAGATTGTGGCAAGGAAGGAAGAAGAGAAGACTAAGGGTGTGATCAGATAGATAGTTTGGTTTGTTTGGTTTTCTGATGGTCAGATGACGTTATTTCTGGAGCAAACTGGCCTGTCCCAGAGTATCCCTACCCATACATTTCTGAGTCCCTGTCAGGGCCTTTTGGTTTTTTGCTGCAGGTAAAGACACTCTATTTTGGTTCCTTTCCAGCATGTCAATCAGTGGGATCAAGCCAAAGCAAGCTTCCTTAATTTCCCAGCTGGTTTCAATATCCCCATATCATTTGTGGATTAAACAGTTCTCTGTTGGCCAAGCCAACTACACCAGAGCACGGAGTGCTGTCCTCTGAAGATGCCAGCCACAGAGACTGGTGAAATGTTAGGAAGAACAACCTTCATAACATGGCCAAAGAGCCCAAAAAAACCACAACAACCATTAGATCCCGGCCGTGAAAGCCTTCGCGAATACATAAACTGCTTAACTCTTTACCTTTGTCTCTCAATATATTGCTCCCTCAGTCTATTCTACAATAAGTGATGAGGGAGATTTGAATTCCCAATCAGGATAAAAACAACTCGTTTCCCCAGGAAAAACACATGAAGGGACTCTATCCTCACCTTTCCTCTACTCAGTTTGAAAAACTTCTGTTCCTGCTTTTCATTAAAAACAACAAAGTGTTGGGAGATAGTTCAGACATAGACATGTATCCACATCTGAAACACTTGCATCTCTGTCCTGGGAAACAGATAGTTCATATCTTGTCGCTCTTGTTATACAGAAGCCAAGAAAGAAGTTTTAGAAAAAAGAAGTAGAAATTGAGATTAAAATTAGGAGCTAAGAGGAATATTTCATTTTGTACTAAATCAATATAGGTCTAATAACTACCTTGTATGTCATGCCTTTCTCACTCAAATATAGTAATATTCCACTTAGTGCTTAGCTATATTTCAAGAAAATGGAGCACTAACTGAATCAGCAATAAACAGAGCAATAAACAAATAACATTATGCATTATAGCACAGGTGAAAAAACAACACAAAATCAGAGCCTTTTATTCACTTCCCCACAACCTGACTGCTCTTCTTTGTCGAACCACCTCCCACATAGCTTAATGCCCCATCCTGCCTGTCCTGCAAAGGGTGGTTCTCTCTTGGATCCCACCTACTCTTAAGGGGGCTTGATCTCAACGGACCTCTGGAAGAATGGGTGAGCATTGTGTCTGTGAGAGAGGTTGAGTAGATTGCGCCTCCAGAAGAATGGAAAAGTGTTACACTCATGGGGTGGGGGACTGCTGCTGCTTTAGGATTATAATAATGGAACAGAAGGAAGTTGGGAGTGCAGGGAATGAGAGATGCAGCCTCAGCTGCCAGGTGTGGCCACTTGAGCACATGTGTTGTAGTGAATCAGCGCTACACAGGACAGGACTATGCAATAAATTATTGTGTATATGTTGGTTGGTTATGTTTTACAAACCACACTTCTCCCCTCTCCATTCAGCATATTGGGCAAATTTCATAATGATGTATGCATGAAAAAGCTCTCCTTTTTTCTGTCTAGGAGCTGGTGGAGTTTTACCAAGAGAATTCCCTAAAGGATTGCTTCAAGACCCTTGATACTGTGCTGCAGTTCTCTTTCAAAGAGCCTGAGAGGAAAACAGCGGCAAAACAAACAAGTGTGTAAACTGAGCCACATTTCTTTACAGTTTCACACAACGCAGCAGAAATGAATTGCCCTTATAAGCAAGAGATGTTATAGGAAGAAAAAAAATATTTTAAATCTAACTATTATTCTGAGCAGAACTTTGAAGTAATCACAATCAACATTATTCCCTGTAACCTGTTCCCTCATTCCTCACTGCATCAATGCAATGGTGATGTTTCATTTAAAAAGTAGTAGGATGACTTATATGTCATTTAGGATAAGTAATGGCAACGATAATATATTCTAACTACTTTAAAAGGCAGTATTTTCACTTTAAATAATGTCTCCTTGACTCCATCTATCTCTTCCTTCTTTCTGGCACATCACTCTCTTCCCTCCTACACCTCACCTTGCCTCATAGGCCACACAAAGCCTTACACAGACTGGAGCCCAGATTCTTGGGTCTGAGAGGAGGAAGCTCTTTTCCATACATCATGGCTCACTAGAGAACTATCACTCAGTGGGGCTGTTCCTAAATAGCTGTTTCTGAATAGCTCGTACAATTTCCTATCTGTCCTATTCACCTGGCCTCCTCCGTGCCTAAATCCCTCTTTGAGTCTGTTTCCTCTTGAGGAGATGGGGAATGGACAGCAGCCACAGTAGCTGCTCTTCTGCTGCCAGAGCCAAATATCAGGACTATAACAAATACTCAAGCTGTTCTGCATAGTTGCGTTCTGCTGCCAGAGCCAAATATCAGGACTACAACAAATACTCAAGTTGTTTTGTGTATAGGGGGAGGATTTCTATGACATGTCATATTTTTCCTTCAGCCTATGTTTGAACGTATGGGTGGGTTTGAACAAGTTTATGAGTAGTTCAGTGAGAAAAGCCAGATTGCTCATAAACATGTTTGAACTTGCTTATGGGTTCAAATGTAGGTTGCATAGAAAATGTGAAATGTCATAGAAATCACTTCCCTACCATGTTTAAAATAAGATAGGGTCTTGTATTAATTTTTGCTCCAAAAAACGAATTAGGGCTTATTTTCAGGGGATGTTTTATTTTACAGTCATGTCATCTTCTGGTTGCTGCACAAGGGTGGAGGGCGGGGTTTCACTTAACTAGGGCTTATTTTGGGGGTAGGGCTTAGATTACAAGCATCCTGAAAAATCATACTAGGGCTTATTATCAGGTTAGGTCTTATTTTCGGGGAAACAGGGTAGTTATGTATACCAGCTCTCTCTTCTTTTCTCTACCCAGTCTAGACAGTATGGATACAGCATCCTCTCTTTTCTTCTCAGCCCTAACTCACATCAAAGGGAAGTAGCCTCTCTTCTGGATCCCTTTCCACTGATTAATATGGCTGCTCTAGAAAGAATAGGTTGAAGACGAGGAAAGATATGTGTACCTAACTGTTAATATTCTGTAGACATCTGTCAACTGCAATCACTTTCAACCTATACATCTTATGTGACTGTTTCTTTTCAGGTATAATTACCTCTTAAATATCAGAAGGAAGGAGAGTGAAGATAGGGTATGATGAACACACTCTGAACTTTCCCACAACTAATAATTCTATATTGTTTTCTTGGAAGGGAAAAACTTTAAATATTTTGGCTCAGCCAAGGCTCGCTACAATTTCTGTGCACGAGATCGGACTGAACTATCCCTCACAGAAGGAGACATCATAAAGATTTTGAATAAGAAAGGGCAGCCAGGATGGTGGAAGGGAGAGATCTATGGCCGGGTAAGCATCTTTTCACCCTGAGAAATCTAAGTTGCTTGGCTTGGGAAAATGTGGAGATTTTAAAACAGAAATTAGACTGATAGGCACACAAAGAGTAAATCTATTGCCTTAAAGCATGAGAATTTGACGTTTCTAAAGAAACATCATGATTTCATTGTGATTTTTGCAAGCTATTACAAGAGTACTGTGGTATAAGAAATGCTATAGTGTAGAGGCAGTTACTGTACGTATTGCAGGTCAGTTGTGTGATGCTCCAAACACCGTTTGGATAGGACAGCAATCTAACTCTTCTTTTTCACTGTAGATGTTAAGGTAGTTGAAACTCATTTTGTGGATGGCTTACAAAATGTAAAGAGCCATGCACACAAATGGCTTTCCACAGGCAGCTTTCTTTATGCCATGCAGTTCTGATGCATGTGACTATCTATCTATACAGGCTGCTTTTTCAGCACTGAGTCATAGCCAGCTAAATACGTTTAAGGTGGAGTATGATTCCCCATAGAAACAGAGTTGATTCAAATCCAGGGCAGAGGTAACAAAAGGGTCAAAGCAGAAGAAGAATCAGTTGCAGCCAAAGTCTGGAGCAGGCTACGCTGCTCAACAAAGACACGAAGAACTAAGCACAACAAGAGCTAATAAGAGAAGCAACTGAGATTTGCAGCTGGATATTAATCAGAACAAGGAAACTACAACCAGAGCCAAGAACAGAAGTCAGATATTACATCTATGGAGCCAAGAGAATCAAGAAGTACAGGCTAGGAAACACAGGGCACAGACTTGAGGTCAAAACCAGAGGGACACTGAGGATGATCGGACAACGTAAGGCTTGCTATTTGGTTTGCTTTTGGTGTGGTGTGGTTTGCCCTAGTTATTGGCAACCACAAATATTTTATGTATGAGTAATCCAGCCTGCTTGTTTTGTGAGGTGTTCTGGTCCTTTCTGGCATTGCGCTAGGGTTGCAGTTTATTTTGTGTGATTGGAAGCACTCTTGACTATCCTATTCTGCAGTCTGTGTGGTTACCTAACTCGGTCCTAGATAGAGCTGTGGGCAATGTTCTTTTTGGTGCAACTGTGACATTTGCCGTGGGTTGTAATAGTAGAAAGGGGAGCAGAGAAACCCTTTCCTCTATTGTTCTCTTCTCCCAACTTTACAAAAAATATTCTTCTAATTAGTGTAGCGCTATTTTAGATATAAGGGAGTATCCATGCCAGTTTGATGTATTGCTTAGGTGCTATGCCACTTACTAAATGAAACAAGAAAGGGGTAGTTGCATGGCCCACAGAATGACAGCCACAATAAAAGGCAGGGAAAATGGGGAGGGGAAGGGCATAAATAATTGAAAGGGGGAGTTATTGGAGCCATCTGAAGTGCTGTCTGGATCCTTCTCACAGAAATGGAAGGATTTCTCAAGTGTGAGATAAAATAGATTGCATCAAAGATAAGAATTTTTAAACATGACGTGAATTGCTCAGAATTCTCTGGCTAGTCATACTCACTGTTCAAGCAAAGATTCAGGCCTAACCCAGGCATCTGTTTATGGCCAAGAGAAGTCAACAGAAACCAAAGGGGTGCATGGGAGGTACAGTTCTGGTCAGATCTGACAGAATAATCCTGCTCAGTCTACTAATTTGTAGCCCTGAGTGGCTTGTCACAAGCTAGCTGGGATATCAACACAGTATCCAGGGAGTTCAAGGAACTCTTGATTCAAATCCTGGTCAATTCTGACACTGCTTTGGTTTATTAATTCAGCTGCTAATGTCTCCTAGGAGGGCTGTGAGAGTCTGAGTTTTGAAAGGAATGAATAGAATAGCTATGATCTATGTACAGTTTCGCTTTTCATATAAATGTATTCTTTCAACTTTCCCAAGAAACAAGAATTACATACACAACACTACAGAATATTATGTTACTCAGGAATCATGCCCCTGAACTGAGAAATATGATAAACACTCTTCTACATTGTTGCTTCTGTGAAGTGATGCTATTCTGCTCCTGGTGCTCTCTAAACCAGCGGTCCCCAACCTTTTTCGGTCCGCGGATCAGCTGGGGAAGGCGGGGCACTCCCTGCACTTGTGCACATGCGCGAACAAACACTCTCTCTTGCACAGGTGCATGCGTAAATGGCAGCGTGGCGCTTGTCTGGGCGTGCACGCACATGCACAAATTGCAGCGTGGCATTCGCACGGCATGCTGGAGCGCAGGCGCAAAGAGCTGTGTGGGGGTGAGTGCATGCGGGGGGTGGCGCAGGAGGTCTGTCTTGGCGGCCTGGCCACGGACCAGCACCAGGCCACAGACCGGGGGTTGGGAACCTCTGCTCTAAACAAAAGACATACTTCCAGTGAAGTTAGGCTGTAACTGCAAATCCCAGGTTCCAGAGGCTGATTCCTCAGTTGACTGATTTGCCCCTATAATCAATTAACAAAACTAGTTCAAAACTGGGAAAATTTATTTTAGACTATGACTTCAATAATACTCCAACCAGCTTGGCTGGTAACATAATGCCAAAAACAACAAATGACAAACATACCAGCATTTTAGAGGCAAAACTGCCTTGGGATCATTTTTCTTGTTTATTGGGATTCTAGTAATTATTTTCCTTAATGTGTTTTCTCTACAGGTGGGCTGGTTCCCAGCAAATTATGTGGAGGAGGATTATTCAGAGTATTGCTGAGGATACAACTAAGAAGGCTACACTTAAGGATTCTTTGGCAGTATATCCTGGAGCAAACAGTGTGTTTGCTTCCAGGAGCTATTGAAGTGCAAAAGTACTATTATTTATGAACTCCCTTTAATCCACTGCTCCTTCTTCCATTAATTACAGATCATTCTGTGTCCTTTTGTCTAATAAAGTGGGTGGGTATTAAAAACTTGTCTATGGCTGCATCTCTGTCCATTCCAAAGAACAAATCACATCACCCAAGCAGATCAAAATAAAACTCCAACATGAACACTTAGTTTCTTAATCCACAGTTGCTCATAGCAACAAATACTGTAATTTGAAGTCTGAGTTCTTTTTATTCACTGTATAGTCTAGTGTACAATCTTTCTATTTTCTTAATTTTTCCACTGCCTAATTTAGTGTGGCCTACTATAGAAACATCAATGATCTGGAAGCGGTGAGGCCTGAAGTTGCCAGTATTCAAACTGAAGCCCTTCCACACTTTTTCTCTATTGTCCTAAACAGAAGATGATTTGTGGAGAACAATTGCATGTGGCAGAGACCTTAGGAATCCAAAAATAAGGTTCTAATCCAAAACAACCTTTTCCCCTATTTCTTGCTGATCAATGTCAGCCAATATCCTGTTGGTGATTTACAGGTGTGTATGTTAAATTGCACAAATCACAATGGTAAATTAATTTATTAGGCACAGGTCACTTTACCAGGAATGTGCCAGTTGTGCAATTGGGTGTGATGCTTGTAATGTGCCCAGTACTTTCTTAGGCAGCAATTTGCCAGTGATTCTGGTCACTATGATTTGCACACAATAGTTTCTAGTGTTACCAAATTAAAAGATATCTCAAGTGGACTTTGCTTGAAAACGCAGAGAGCCACTGCCACTTAATGGACAGAGTACAGTACTAGGTTACATGGACTAGTGTTCTGGCAGTTGTGTATGTTTTTCAGAAACGTATATTTCTCTCATCCTGTGCCTTCCACCATAAGGGATCTTATCCAAGAATCAATTAGGAGCTTCTTAATAATTTGAAAGGTTTCAAGAAAATGCTAAGGAATGCTGTTTAAAACAGTAGCATAATAAACCTCCATCTTTCTCTAGCATCACTGGACACCTCTTTTTCAAGCTAAACACATATGTATTTGACTCATCTAGCCAATATATGCCATAATCTGAAATCAGGTCTGGTATCAAGATACTCTGCTCCGTCAGTGTAAAATTCCAGAGCCTCTAGGAAACATTCTTGATCGAGCAAATGTGCTTTATTTTGCTCTGAAAGGTATAACTTAAATACTTCACAAAGTTCTATGAAGGCTTACATTAAAATATAACACCCATCATATATGAAGTAGGCCCAATAGCTATGCATTCTTTCTACATGCATTCAGAATATTTGAATAGTATTCCAGGTTCTTAGAAGTAGGGACTGTACCAAAGAACATCTAGTCATGTCAGCCCAGTGTGTAGTCTAAAGTCTAAATATTGACTGCTTCTGAGCTAAACTGTATATTATTGACACAGACTGGGGCAGAGAATACTTCCTATCTGCTGAAAACTGTAATTCTGAACCGCAGAAAAAAAAAATCAGTTTGGGAAACAGGATCTTGAAAAGGGTGATGAGAATTAATTTAAAAATGTAAGCACCTTAAGGATCAAGTGCTGTCATTATAACATGTGGACTGCTGTGCAACAAGTGAATGGATTAAAATGTGGGCACATCACATCTGCCATAATGTATCATTCAGTAATCCTACAGAAACCATGAAGTCAAAGGGGAATTAACCTCCCTGACCAGGTTTTTCTGATCCTTTGAGCAAGGTGCCTTCTAAGGCTGCCTTCTTGTATAAATACCTCCCTTCATTTTCTGCCTTTTAGCTATTTACTGTACCCTCAAGACAAGCTGTAGCACTGTAGTATAATATGTGAAGCAAACTTTTATTTCCCCTCCCCATTGCTTGCATGCTAAAAGCTCTTGGTGAGGGAAGAGCTGGGCATCTGGCAGAGGTCCCCACCAGCACAGATGTGGGACTAAGCAAGTCTTCAAGTAGGTGTATCCTGACCTTGGGCTTGTGTAGCTACCGTTTGTGCGTCTTTCACAAACATTTCATTTAGGGAATTGATTTTTAAAGAAGAAAAAGTTATATATACTCCTAAAATGTTCCCCTAATGCAGTGATGGTGAACCTTTTTGAGCCCGTGTGCCTAAACTGCAACACAAAATCAACTTTTTTATTTCAAAGTGCCAATACTGCAATTAAAACCCGAATGCTGAGGTTTTAGTTTCGAAAAGACAACTGCTCCTGTACTGCAAGGGTTAAATACTTGTGTTTTTTTTTCCTCCTCCTATGGGCGGTATTAACAAATAAATACTTACTGGTCCTCCAATCCCCCATTGGGCTAGACCAGTAATGGTCGCCATTGCACCCCTCCGCTAGACCATTGCACCAGCAGAGAGGAGTGCCGAAATCCGGGATCAAACGACAGGTAAGATTTCTTTATGGCGACTTATGGCTCGTGTGTCAACAGAGAGGGCTCTGTATGCCAACCGTGGCACGTGTGCCATAGGTTCACCATCACTGTTCTAGTGGATCAGGTGTCTATGAATGCAAGCCTTGATTTCTCTCAATTTGAGAGAGAGCCATAGTTGGGTTCTTTCATTTTCATTGCGGCCCAAGGCACTGAATTCGCAGCCGACTTACTAGACACACAGCGAAGCTTCCTGTATTCTTGCTTTGATGGGCAAAAGCCCAACCTGTGCTAAGATTTGCATGTGGTGTTATCATTCACAAGACCTCTTTCTAGTGTACCATTCATAACTGTTATACTGAGAATACATCTTTCCATGACTGTTGTTTGCAGTGGCACTAAAGGCCTGATCCAGAAGCACACTCTGGGGGTGGTGGGGTGAGGCAGTACTGTGCCTGCTTACCCAGCAGTATGTTCCATTCAGCTCAGTTGGACTCTGAGGAGACATGTTTAGGTTTGCAAATGTCTAGTTACAAAGCAAGTTCTTCCAGCAAATGGGCCAATGTGAATTTACCTAAAATATAGGGCCCCAGGAACAAGACAGTTGGGCCACCTGCCTGCAACATCAGCTATAATGAAAATACAGGCAGGCAAAGCACAGCCACTGGTACTAATTTATTGTCCAGATTCTTATTAATAATTTTCCTTACTTTCCAAACTTAATCATGATCTAATAAGTGTCATAAATAATAGTGTTATGTAGGGATTTAGCTTGTCTGATTTAACAATCAGAGGGATCGGTGACAGGGGATACATTAATAGGCCACAAATAAAAACAAAAATAAAAACATCATGCAAAATACAAGCTTTTGTGGATGAATCACATGATCAGAGGGACTGCTGACATCATCTTCAGGACTCAGCCAATCCTGAGGGTGCTGCTGCTACCTTGGGAACCCAACCCATTTTCTCCTGGGTCTTTGTGACCTCACAGAGCCCCACCTCTCTACTGGCAGATAAAAGGGGCTTGCTGGGCAGGCCAGGAGACCAGAAGGGAGGCCAGTGGACAGCGGGCAGTCCGGCAGAGAGAGCAGCAGCAGCTGCAGGGGACCCCACCCTTCTGCCCAAGGCAAGTTCTCTTGTGAAAGCAGATGAACTTGCTAAGTGGGCTTGAGAGTTAACAGCTTGAGGATGAAGATCCGTGGCTTGAAGCTGGCTGATGTCAGTGATGGATTGGGGGGGGAGTCAGTGGACGTTGGCAGACAGAAGCTGATGGAATCTCCCTGCGGAAGCTGGCTGAGGCCACAAGGCAGAGGCCGGCAGAGGTTGGTGGATGAAGCCGGGGGACGTTAGCCTCCTGAAACCAGCTGGCGGAAGCTTGATGGATATCGGTGGATGGAAGCCCTGGCGTGTGTGTGAATGGCTGGTGGAGTGAAGGTGTGCGTGTGTTGGGGGTGGTGGTGGCTGGTGTGTGTGTGAGAATGTGTCTGTGAATGGACTTGCTGGCGTTATGTGGGGATGTCGCCGGGGTGTTTGTGTGACCCAAGCATTCAGGAGCTGGCGGAGGCTGGCTTCAGAAGCGGAGTGGAAGAGATGAACGGGTGGATATTCCTGGTGGAATCCATTGGATGTTGGCAGGCAGAACTTTGGGATGAAGTTGCCAGAACACTGGCCGGTGGATATGCCTGGGTTGAAGCTGGTTGACCGCAGTGGATGAGCTCGCCCCTTAGTTGTGTTTTTCCTCTCTCTCTCATAGGGCGCGAAGCGTCCTCTTCCCCAGGGGGATGCGAGGGACCAGAAGGCAGGCGTCCTGCTGGAGCGGAAACAGGCCATTGTCTCCACTTAGGATACTCGTTTTGCCTCTTTTCCAAAACCAATAAAAGAACTTTCTGGAATGTTTTTGAAGTGTTGTCTTGTCAGGGGATTATCTTCCCCATCCCCTCATTATATCTGGGGCCAATGCCTGGGGTGGGTCTTTGTGAAGTCATGGTGTGGGGCCTTGTGATGTCACAGGAATTGGGAACATAATATTTTTCAATGCATGTATGAGGGAATGAGCTAGGCATTGTCGGTTCCCTGTCTGAGCTCCAGTGGCTGCCTCTGAGTGCCAATGTATTCGGCAGGCTGGCTGAGTAGCTCTGTGTTTTTTAGGGCATATGTATGAGGAGCCAAAGGTTCAGAATTCAATTCTCCCACGTTGCCTCCTGCGAGTAGAGCCTGCCTGTGTGGTCTTGGGCAAGCTGCACAGTCCCAAGGCACCCTCAGGAAAAAAAGGAATCGGGAGCTATTTCCAATTATTCCGTATGGAGAAAAAGCCTGAAAACGGCAGTCATAAGTCATAACTGAATCGACGGCAAAAAATTATTAATGTATGAGGCGCCTCTAATACGTTGCGGTAAAGAAGTATGTGCCGTCTCTTCTAAAGATGATGCGCCTATACTTTCAGGAGTTTACGTGTGTTCCTCGGATGAAGTGGACCTAGGGGGGAACCACGACTCCGAATGTGCAATAAAAGCATGAACCGCAGCATCCTTGGCGGGCGCCTTTCCCTCCTCAGCAGCTCGTCATTATTCGGCCGCTTCACAAAGCTCCCCTTCCCCCAATAATCCCCTCAGCCGCAGTGATGCCCCCATTGCGCATGCGCACCGAGGCCTGGCTGGTATGTACGTTGGGGGATGGTAGGCAAGCGAATAGGAAGTCGCCCGCGACTCGCTATGGCAGCGCGCACCG